GTCAGGGGTTAAACCCCCCCTTAATCAGAGCCCCCCAGGCCTGGGCCTGGGCCCCCCCCCCCCAGCTCAGTACTGTAGAAGGGAAGGGAAGGCTGCTCTAGTGCCCCTCAACTTCTAGCCTGAGCCACTGTGGGCATGTGCCTGGATTTCTGGAATGAAAAGGAAATGTCTATCCACCTCCAAATTGATTCAAGTTTTGCAGGTAAAATTAACCTGGAAAGACTGAATCAATTCAGGCTCAGGCTTTTTGAATGTCTGTCCCTAGCCCTAGAGATCAGCTAATCCAGCCCCCTGCTCAAGGCAGGATTTATCCCTGAGTAAACCATCCCAGCCAAGTGTCTGTCCAACCTGTTCTTGAAAATTTCCAGGGATGGAGATGTCACAGCCTCTCTAAGTAACCTGTCCCAGCACTGAACCAACCTCAGAGTCAGAAAGTTCTTCCTAATCTCTCACCTAAATTTCCTCTGTTGAAGCTTGAGGCCATTACTGCTAGTCCTATTCCCTATAGCCACAGAGAAAAGCCCATCTCCATCCTCCCTGTAATTTCCCTTCAGGTATTTGAAGACTAGTATAAATGCTCCCTCAGTCTTCTCTTTTCCAGACTAAATAACCTTTACTCTTTCAGCCTTTTCTCAGACATCTTGCCTTCCAGGTCCCTAATCATTTTTGCTGTCCCCCACTCGACTCTTTCCAAACTGTTCACATCCTTCCTGAAGTGTGGGGTCCAAAACTGGACACAAAACTCCAGGTGAGCCTCACTCTTTTGTCTCACTCTTTTCTTGCAGAAATGTATGCCCTCCTGGGATCTGTCTCACACATTACTTTGCATTTACTAATTAAGGTAAAAATGGTTAACAGTATATACCACCTAGAAAGCCATGGCTCCATGAGGGATGCTTTGCTGGTATATGAATACCAATATTTTAGACTGGCAAAGCACTCTAAGTATGGATGCAGCTGTCCTGGCACACCTGTTTTGTTCCAATATAATGGAATGAGCCTCACAAATGGAAAAAGCCATGCCATAAAAGTGGAGTTTTGTCACTATAAGTCTGTGTAAATTATGATGTTCAGCTAGTGCAGTTTTTTCTGTCACATATCACACCTCTTCAGACTCCTGGTGGATGGAGGTTTGCCTATCAATGGCAAAGCCATAGCCAGTTACTATCCCTAAATATGCCAACACAGTTATCATTGTTGGTCAGGGTGGCTTTGATTTAAATCACCGATCAGGAAGCCTCAATTTAATCGTCGTTTTCTACAAAAAAGTGCATTCTTGTTGTTTGATATCCTTTATTAATTTAACTTCTTGAAACTTTGCACTTTTAGAGAACGGTAAGGGCTTGACTGTGGACACAAACTTGCAGAGAGACAAGAGGGCTGATGGGTGGGTAAGCAGGTCTGTTCTCTCTCATCCCCATACAGTGCTGTTAACAAGGATATTATCTCTGGATACACACATCCACAGTTTGAGAACTAAGCATCACAGAGGTGCTTAATGGGATCTTTGAGACTGAGCGCTGGCTCCCATTGGGTAGTGTGGTTTCCTTTAATCTTTATTACTCTACTGGCCAGTTGTCTGTCAAGAACGACTGGTGGTGGGGGCGGCTGGGAACACAGGCCTGCGTCCAGCCCTGGCCATCTCCACCATTGGGGCCGGGCCTGCTTCCCCTCTTCCCCACTGCCACTTTGGGGTCAGGTTGGGCCGCCCCCCGCCTCTGTCTGCTAGCCCCACCTCCCCCTCTTCACTCTGTCACCACCACCTGCAGGGCCGGGGGGGCATGGCTGGCGGCGCAGGCCTTGCTCCCCTCCTCCCATCCACTTTGTTTTCACGGCCTGCAGGGAGCAGGGAGGATGGGGCCAGCGCTGTCTGCTCTGTCACCGCCACTTGCAGGGATGGGGGGCTCCCCCCCCCTCCATCTACTCTGTTGCCGCTGCCTGCCGGGTGGGGGGGCTGGCCAGAGATAGAGGCCCAGGGCCAGGATTGCTCCCCCGACCCTCACACCCACCGCTTTGGAGGCAGGGCCAGAGCCACTCCCCACACGCCTCCCCAGTGGGCCGGCAGGCACAGAACCCAAGGTCCAGCCCTGCACCCCTGCTCCCCTCGTCCGACACCCCCCGCCCCCATTCAGCCAATCAGACTGCGAATAAAACGTTATGGAAAGACAGACTGAGTCACTAAGGCTTTAGGAGGAGCCTCTGGGAACCGCATTAGATTGGGCCCAAAATATAGTCCATGGCCTGTTGTGACCTATTCATAAAACTGTTCTCAAAACATGTCATGAATATATTGTCTGAAATAGTATATAAGTTATAATCCCTATCCCGTGATGATATCTTTGAGCTTTAACATATCTTAAATTAAAATGATCTTTATACAGATTTGTTTTTAAAAAGGCATCATAACAAAAGGAATAAAAAAAATCTGATTTAAACAAGAACCCAATTTTTTAAAATTGTTTTATCCACCCTGTTGTTGGTGTCGTTCACCCCATGGCAGTTCATAATGACCAACTTTTTTCTCTAAGGACGCTGGTTGATGCCATGCAGCTGGCGCACCATCGGAGAGAATAATCTGGGAAGCTCCCTTCACTGGAAACCAGGGGACAGTGAGGCAGTGAAATTAAATGGAGTTCAGGCAGGGGCCACAGCATCTTCACGGACCCAAAACGGTGCAGAAGGGACCCCACCATGGGGGAAATCTAGGACCGGGGTGCTGTTTTCCCTGCTGGGTGGCCTGAGGGAAAAAAACCGGCTCGGTGTAACGATGCAGAGACTCCAGCCATTTGGGATCCTTTGGCTCAGCGTGACTGTCACAAGCGTGAGCAGGCAGGATTGAACCCCAGCCCCAGCTCTTTTCTGAGGCATGATTCGAGCTGCATTTCGGGATGCTGCAGGGACACAACTGCAGACCGCACAACGGAACGCCACCACCTCCTGCTGCCTGGCAGCGTGGGGGTCCCAGTGGCCACCATGTGCAAGAGGGCGTGCAACAGAGCAGAGCCGCTCAGTGCCACACACGGGCAACCGATGAAGGGTGGTGCTGCCCAATGCGCAGGAGGTCTGGTGAAAGAAGCGGAGGGGACATCAGTCAGGTCAACACCTTGACTAAACTGATGCCAAGTCTTGACTTGGCCCACCACCATCTCCTCAGGGCCACCTCACTTCTACGCATGCGCCAGTTGCGAGCGCCAAAAAAGGGCGGGGAAACTGCGCATGCCCCAGCGCTGCCCCTACTTCCCCAAGACATCCTTCGACGCATGCGCCAGCCAGCTGCGCATGCGCAAATTCATCCCACTCCCAACCCCCGCGTCCAAAGGCCCGGCTGGCACGTGTGCGCGTGTGCAGAAGCGTCAGCCTCAGCCAATCAAGAGCCGCCCGTGACGTTGCGACGTGCGTGCGTCTGTGCGTGCGTGCGTGCGCTCGGCGGCGGCGGCGCAGCGTCCCCTGCCCCGAATGAAAGGGAAGGTCCCAGGCAGCGAGCGGCGGTGAGCGGCGGCGGCGGCTTCCCCTCGGGTGAGTGCGCGGGGTGCCCTGTCCGGCCGGGCTGAAGGAGCCGCCTCCCTCAAAGCTACCCCCCCGCCTCGTCTGTTCGCGGGTGGTGGGGGCCTTTCGGCCGGGGGGGCGGGGTAGGTGCACCTTCCTTTGCGATGGGGTGTTCCTCAGTGGGGTGCGGGTTCGTAACCCGCCCCAGGGGCTGGGCACCCACGCTGGGTTGGCCGTGCCCCCCACCGAGAGTCTCGAGTCAAATGCGTGGGTCAGCCGGTTCCGAAAATATATGAACACGTCTGCACGCCCGCCCACCTGTGAATACCCCAAATGGGTCGCCGTTCTGGGAACGGATCCATAAGTGTGCGCAGGTATTGATATAGACATGGGTACGTGCATAGAGGTATAGACACGTACAGATATTTATATCTACTTATATCTATGTATCTCTGTATGTAAATAAATAGATCTAGAGCTACGTACATAGAGAGAGACATGTACAGATACATACACGTTCAAAAAGTCAGAAAATTTGGGTGGGAAGGACTCCCAGGAGGTCCTGTCTAGTGCAGCCCCCTGCTCAAAGCAGGACCAGCCCCAACTACATCCACGGCTTTGTCTGGCTGGGTTTCCATTACCTCCGAGGATGGAGATCCCACCACCTCCCTGGGTAACTTGTTCCAGCGCTTTACTAGCCTCCTCATGAAACAGTTTTGCCTAATATCCAACCTCAACTTCCTTCGCTGCAGCTTGAGCCCGTTGCTCCTGGTTGTGTGTGTGTCTGTACACCCCCCCCCCTTATGCTGTATGCACATTCCTAGAAAACAGCACGTATCTCGAATTCACATAAGGGGAGCCCACTTTACAGTATAACAAATATGTTCCAAGACCTCGACTGTCCTGACCCCCAGACTCATTTCTACCACTTTTACAAGACGGTTTTGCTACTTGCCAACAGTAGACAGTACACGCACGCAGGGGGTGTGGGTAAGTGTTTAGCTGCTGTGAAGAGAGGGTGGTGATGGACCAGGGAGATAAGCTAGCGGGATGCTTAGAAGCCATAATGGGGGTGGCAACTACAGAAACATGTGTCACAGGCAATGGGCGAGGAGCACAGATCCACACAGGAGACTATATTTTGGTGTATATCACTCCCACAGTGCACTGCAGAAAGCAGGTGACTGTGGCACCCAGCACACCGATCGCATAAGAGTGAATTTACCTCACATGTAACCAGTTTTTGTTATAAAAAGTGTCATCAAATAAAAGCAAATTTGCACATACAGAACCTGTGTAAGGTGAGGGAAGCCTGTATAAGCACATATACACGTACATATGGATAGATAGAGATACAACTATGGATACACATGGATAGACACACACACGCACATACACATATGTACATGTGCATGTGTATTTGTCTGAATATTTCGTATTGCTTTTTGTGTCAGAGTATCCAAAAAGCACTTTGCTACCAAGTCTCCTATAATAAAAACTTCTGCGCTCATGTTTCCATTGGCTTTTCCCAGACATCTCAACATAACGTAAGTGTTATGTTGCCCGGGACCTTCCCTTTGACATTGTCATAAGTGTTAAAAAATAAACGTTCAGAATAATCCTTTATTTACAAGGGTGCTGCTACACATGCAAAGTGGGTTTACAGTAAACTTGATTTTGGAAAGTCTAGCGTATAAACTGTAAGCCTGTATTCTGTATAAGAAATGGCAAGCTGAGGCCTGATGCTGGTAAGCAAATGAGGTATAAGGGGAAGCTCTTGAACTTCTCTTAGCAGTGGTGTAAGTGGCAGCCTGGTTACTTTCCCTTCTTTAGTGCTGAATAATGTCTGTAAAGAGCCTTCCTTCCCCTTTGCCCGTGAGAGAGTGAGCTCGCACATTCCCCACGCGGTTCGAATCTGCCCTTGAGCACTGTGCTGCATGCAACTTTTGTTAAAATCAAGACGTTAAGGCAAGCATAACCGTGAATATCTTAACATGCATTAAGGAAACTCTTTTTATGAACAACACAATGGTGATAATTATAAAAGGAATTTTCTTCTGTAACTGAGAATCTTTTATGAGCTGTTTCACTTTGTGAGATTTTTAGTCTGGAGTTAGGCACTCCTTTAGATAGGAGTGATGCTGATAATGCTTCTTATATCTTGATGGAGCATTATCAGTACATCTGGGTAAAATGCATCTGTGTTTTATAATCTAGGTTGCTAGCACACGTAAAGATAATGCATAATGTCTGCCATCAAGGTTTCTGTGATATACCTTTGTTTTTAGAGTTTATTACCTAGCAATAGGACTTGTTTCTTTCAAATTTGGAAAGTAAGGTAGCAATTCAAGAATGTGTAGCCTCCCCCCCGCCCTTTTAAAAATCTGTTTAATAGCTCTAAAAGGGGTGGGAAGAATATTTAACTGCTTTTGAATTGAGCCTGTTTTGTGTGTTCACATGAAGACTGGGTTGATGCTGAGGTAGTAATTTGATTAGCCGCTCTTAAACTATTTCCAACAAAAAATATAAATGTCAAAATTTCGCTTTCAGGATTCTGTATCTGTAACATGGGTAGGAAAGTGATTGTTTTAAAAAATGTAAATTAACACAAAAACAAAGGTTTCTGGCAAAGCAATTAGAAATACCTCTTTTGTGTAAGATTTTATTAGAAATTTGAAACCCTGGATGGGCTGTGCTGTGAATTTATGTCCCAAAAGAGTTTATACTATGAAAAATGTACTATTATACATAAGGGATGAGCAAGTTTTAAGTTAATATCAGCATTACAGATAAAATGGTTGTGTAGTGGTTTCTGAAACAAATACTTTACAGCTTGCTAAAGAAACTAAATAACGTTAACACGTAGGTAAACTTAAGACACAAAAACAAAGAGCTCAGATCTATAAATAGCACTTTTGGGTTTCCTTTAAAAAGGCTGGAGGAATACATCTCACGCTGATAAAAACGCATGTTACTTTTCTGATGTATACTTTTGCTTTTTTGCTGTGCTTGCAGGTTAAAAATATTCAGAAGTGTCAGATTGTTCTTAATTGAATAATCATGGCAAAATGCATTTTTTGCCAGTGAGTTGAATCTCTTTAGTGTTATGTCAACAGAGGCCTGAAAAAATAAGAATGTTATCCACAATTTTTCATTTTAGTTTTAGGGGTATTTTTATTTTTAAACTAATGGTATACAGTTACTTCAGAATATGAGATCATATATACAATAGTACTCATCCTGATACAACAAATGCCCTGTCCAGCTGAAGGCCAACTGCCTCCAGTCACCTAGGAAAAAGGTAAATATTTTGTAATCTTGTTTCCTGGAAGTTATTGCACATATCATTTAATAATTTAAAAATAAAATAAGCAGCCATTTTAAACTCCCATGGTTGTTATGAATTATTCAATTTTTTTCAAAATTTTAGTTTGCCAGTCAGACTAATCTTAAAGGAAATTCTCTTGCTAGAAAAGCTAAGCCTGTTTGGCACACTTAAAAACACATTTTCTCTCTGGTTATGGGTGTAAGAATCTTATTTAAACCAGCAGGTTTTGTGCAGGCATATTCACGGGCAGAATTTGATTTTGAATTTCTGAGTTGAGAGTGGTCATTTTTGCTACAAAAGAATTAATTACTGAATCAGAAAAAAGAAAAGCACAAAAGTGAAGTGAGAGAAAATCCAAAATAAAAACATGTAGCCTTATACATAGGTATATATTTGATGTAATGTTATTTCTGTCAAACAAAAGGTTTTTTTTTTCATTTTTAATTTTGCTACACTACTGCCAACTCATTATCACATGTTTTTGAAAGTGACCCAAGAAAAAAAATCTTTTTATGATATAATTTCCCACCATTCTTCTGCTGTCCTTCTAAATGAGATCTGGCAAGTAGGAAGGTTTTTAAAGAATTCTAACATTTGTCTTTTCCTCCTTCACAAGTCAGCCCTTTTTGCTCTTTTGGAATGAAGTTATCTTATTTTGGTTTCTCTTTAGAAGACTATGACAAGTATTTTTTTAATTTAATGCATAAGGACTCTCTATTGCCACTGCAAAAGGGTGTGACTCATTTATCCAGATTGGTACATTTTTTGTGCAAATCAGTAAGATCTAGAATCTTATTACTCTTATTGTGAGTATGCGTCACTAACTTAGTAAACTGTAGTTGGAAACAGAATTAAATGAAACTGTTGAAAAGAACAAGTAATAGGTACAGGATCTGTGTTCTCCTTTCCATTGATCTTATGTGAAATATGACATGCCAAATACATGCAGGCTTTTTAAGTTGCAACAAAGACAATTTGTGGTGATAATACTAAAATGAGAACTACAATGCATCTTTTTGGCAACATTGTTTTTTTCAGGCAGATGTGTACAAAGTTAGCACTATTCTTCAATTTGATGTTAAAATATGGAGGGGTGTTAGGAAGCAGAAGGCTTAGGACACTCATAAGCACGAGTTGGGTTATGCAGATTTCACCAAGAAGTTGCAGCTATTGCAGCTCAATCCAGCTGTTTTGCATCTTTTGTTTGCAAAAGACTGCAGTGAGCAGAAGTTCTGAAGAGTATGGTAGTCTTCCTAATATAAAAAGCAGTCTAGAAGAGAAGAAGGCTGAGAAGGCTGTATTTGTTGCGCTTGTGACTAAAATAATTCTAAGATCCAGATTTTAGGAGTTGAAAGGCAATAACCAAATATGCTATTTAGAGACTCTGAGTACCATGTTTGTATTACATTGCGTTTGTTGGAGGCATAAACATAAATGGCCCCTTAACATGGGGCCCAAAAAGCATGCACCCATGGGTGTTTGGTATTTTCAACCTTGACCTTGCAAAACGATGCAAATGGGACAATTCCTTTGCAAAGCCTCACTGAATTTGATCCATTCATGTGAATCTAATTCCTAGATTAGAACCTTTGTGGTATTATATTTAAAATGTTATCTATAAAGCATAAAAAGTGTATGAATTATGGCATGAATTAAGTTGCTTTCCTTGGGATAAGAAAAGCTGTTTTCATGCAGATATTAAAAACTAGTATAAGATTGCTAAGAACAACCATGGATCTCAGATGTTTCCTTTATAGTATATTAGTCATGAAGATTCAATTCTAAAATTTTATTCATAACTGTTCAACCAGCCACAGTTTATCTGTGTAATGCCTAACATGGTAATATTTTATCTTCTTATCTCAGAAGGACATTTACTCATCTTCAGCATTACAAATATGAACATTTTAAATTCAAAACCTGTTAGCTATTACAGATGCTAGCCCTGTGTGGTGTATGTGGGTTTTTCTTCCCCTTTCTCTTTTTGTTACCTCCAGAGGAGTTTGTAGATTGGATTTTATTGTATGCCAAGTTAGGGCTCTCAACACTATGCTTCTGGAATAAATAAAAAGAAGAAATGGGATGGGAGATGCAGTGAGACAATATTGCATGAGTATTTCCCCCAGAGCTCTAATGATTGTTGTACTTTGTATTTTCATTTATTCTCTTCCCTTTCCTCGCAAAGCCTTTTAATTAGTCTGATTTTTCTAACTTCTTGCTTTCAGGACTATTACATGGCTTGCTGTCATGTTTCTCATAAACACTCAGAGCACTACTGCACCTGCAGAATGCCTGCTTGCTTAGATATTCTAGTTCTGTGTACGCAGTTAAGTTTTTCTGGTGTTTTATGCAAAGTAACTTAAACAAGTACAGCTTCAATTGTTTTACGCTTGAAATTTATATCACTGTTGCACCTTTTCTTTTTCGTAGCATTTGTGAGGATTGAATTGGCATAGGCCATTTTAAAATCATGACAAGCTCAGTTGGACAGAAAAAAGTGTCTTCAAGACAACGCAAGTGTGGTTTTTGTAAGTCTAATAAAGATAATGAATGTGGACAATTATTGATGTCAGAAAACCAGAAGGTGGCAGCACATCATAAATGTATGGTAAGTACCCCATAGGAAAAAAGGCAGTCAACTATTAGTGTAAGTCATATAGACTTAACCCAATAACTAAATCATGTCAGCTTACTTTAGTGTTGGTGTAAATCAGTATCACTGTTGACTTTTATTGTAATATTGTGCCTTTTACCCATGTAATGGTATTTCATATTATTGTAAACCTTAACAATTAAGTTTTGTTTTTATATAACTTGTAGCTGTTTTCATCTGCATTGGTATCTTCACACTCTGATAATGAGAGTCTTGGTGGCTTTTCTATTGAAGATGTTCAAAAGGAAATAAAAAGAGGCATGAAACTGGTAAGTCTATACCTTTGCATCTTGGAAGTGGGAAAGTGGTTTTTTTTAGTATCTATGAAGCTCATCAGGAAGTAATGATACCATTGGCTTTTTAAAAATTTAAGTAAATAAACTTTTCCCTTTTTCTGTTAGCACAAAGATAGTGAGTAGGTATCCACCATATGGAAGGAATTACTGTATTAGATAAAAATGGTCACATAGTTTATTTAAAAAAAAAAGACTAATTATGCTCAATGGAAGCGTGATCGTGCTCTGTTGAAATGAAATCAAATCCAAAATGTCAAATAACTAATAGTGGGGAAACTGTTTAAAGTATATATAAACATAGTAATCAGTCAGTTGACTTTACTTTCAATTTATCTGTTCCCACACTGATCTAAACAGATTATTTAGGGGATGCTAGGTTAATTTTGGAATTACTCAAATGCAAATGTTACTGTTTTTACTATCACTTTCCTTTTATCATGAGTATTTAGCATAGTTTTTCTAAGCAAGTTTACAATCTCCTAGACAAATTAAGCCTCTTGTTCCTTTTAATGGGCAGCAAGCAATGAAAAATCAGCATTTTTTAAATTTATATTTTCTAATCCAGTAGTTTCTACTTAATATTTTCTGACAGATTTCACAATGAAAGCCACATTCCAGGGAGCTGTGCAAGTGTAACGCTGCTCCTTTACCAGCATTTGGTTTCACTGCCAAAATCTGACTTAACTGCCAAAACGCTCTAGTGCTTCCATTTTTAATGATTTAATAGAGCTTTGTGGATGCAGATTCATTATGAGATGCACATATACAAAACTAGTGTCATATTTGCCAAACTCCATGGGATTGCACAATAAGAATTGTTGGGGGTTTTGTGTTTTTGGTTTTGTTTTGTTTTTGGTTTTGTTTTTTGGTTTATTTTGCAAGGCAATAATTAGTTTGAGGCTTTCCATAGTTTTAGTTTAAGTGCTGGTTATAATTTTTTTCTTTCCTATTTGGGAAATTGAATTTGCAAATAATTACTAACAACTGATACAGTATAAATAATACAGTCCATGCATTGAATTATTTCAATTTAGCTTGGTGGAAAAAGTTATCTACACAGTAACCTCATTTGGAGGCTGAACTGGCACATTCTGACATCTTTTTGCCTTTGCATCATTACTAAGCACTCTACTACTTCACCTGGAAATCTTATCCTGTAAGGGGGGCTTTTGTTTAATCTGATACGATGAATCTACTGAGATGCAACAATTGGAGACTATGAGTGTGGTTGGAGATTAGCTACTTATAAAGGAAACACTAACATACAGATAGACCAGCAAGAAACTTTTTTGATAGTTAAGTGTTTTTAAATGCTCTTAGGAGATTTGTGTGTGTGGGATTTGGGAGGATATGTTCTTTTGAATCTTTTTGTGTTAAGAGGGCAGATTATTAAAGTTTACTAGCTGTAGAGAACAGGCTTTTCAACTAGGCACAGGTTTTATACAACATTTTAAATATTTTTTCCTGATAGGTTTGGATGGCTACTGTTTTCATATATTTTGCGCTTAGCATATGCTTTCCAGTCTAGCTTGTATCTTTTTTAAAGGATGCACTAATAAGCTCTGTATGGTGTTTCAAATCTAGTAGTTGTATTGACAGTGGTTATAGCCTGTCTGTTGACAGTCACGTTGTATGTAGTCATTTTCTTTTGGTGGATATTATTTAGTGAATATGTATTGAGGACTAGATCTGCAAATTAAAGCAACAATGGCCAAAATGCAGTGTGTTTCTGGCAACAGATGTCTAGCTGAGAAGAGCTGATGAGTTGAACCATGACAACAGACCAGTAATGCCAGCTTGTTCTTCAGTCCTAGGAAATGCATTGCAGTGAGAGTGTTGGTGCTTTTATAAGTCGTGAATAAAGTGGTGGCAACATTTAATTGGTACTGCTGTCCTTTGTTGCCCCCCACCAAATTTCTGTATTCTTCAGGAGCCCTGTGGGTCAGATCTGACCTGCAGGGTTGGGGGGCTGAGCACTTCTGGTCTAGAAAATCAATCAGATAACAGGGGCCTGTTGAATAGTAGGAGCCACTCCATTGAATCTCAGATTTGATGTTAAAATAGAACACACTATATAATTAAGTCCATATAAAGATTTTTCCAGTCAGCTATTTCACTAGAGACTTCACGGTTTATACAGAAGTAAATTGTGCTTCTAACCTACCAAAATATTTAAAGAATTAAAATAGAGGATAAAAGGAAACTGATGGATATAATTTAACCTTAAAATAAACTTGGTAAAATCATTTTCAAGATGTTTTGGAAACTTGATCTACACAGGGTTGGGTAAACACCTACAGTAGATTTAAAAACTAATTAAGAGTAAGGAAACAACACGAGTTCTCCGTTTTTAGAGAAGGGGCTACTGGATGAAAGTAGGCTCAGTCCTTTTGTTATTCAGTTAATTCTGCTAAGAATTTGTGAAGAGCAAAGTAAATTTCAAGGAAAAGGGTTTACAAAAATCTGCTTGGAATTGATTTAAGTTAGTTGAGACTAAAATGAATTCTGAGAATCTTACTAAGCTCTCGAGAGTTATGTAGCAGGATAGATGGGTAACTTTATTCAGTACAGACATGTGGGGAATAATTTCAGCCTCTCCTACATACTGATGGGTTCTGAATTAATTATAACCTTGCAGAGAAAACGTAGATACAAACACTCAACTCAAAAAAGAGACTCATTAGAAATCGTCAGAAAGCTAGTTAAGCTTTTGGACAGTATGAAGAGGCTGGAAAATAATATGGAAAATATTAATACCATTTTATCAAATTATTTCCTCTCTCCAACATACAGCGTGGAAAAGGACAATTAAAAGTTTAGAAAGATGATAAGTAATATCTCCCAAATGAGAAATGCTTATGAAGTCTGGTGTGCCTGTTTTTGGAAGAGGGAAAAATAAATCAGTAGTTTTCTGTTTAGCCCTTTCTGTAATATAAAAACAAACAAGAAGAGGTACTGATACAAATACAGAAATACATTCCTTTTATGTAGCATGCAGTTCATTAAATTCATGAAATCTGATAGAGGTAACTTACTATAAAAAGAACTAGTTATAGGGGGAAGGAAGGTGGGGAGAAAAGAAAAGCAGCTGCATTTAACTAAGGTATAATTGCAAGCACTCAGTCATTCTGCTTCAGGCAATAAGCTGATTGCCAGCCAAAGTCAGGAAGGAAGTAGTTTCTTTTCCCTCTTGTTTCCATGGTGTAGCCCACACCTGACCAGGTGCAGTCTGAGATTTAGCTGCTTTCTGACCATTTTGGAGGCCCGACATTTAAGTGAACAATTAAGTCTTTCCCACTATGCCACTTTTTATTCAGCTAAAGGTTATTGAATTATTTTTTCAACTTGATTAATAAATGTGATAGTATCAAATGATTATCATGCTGTTGTATTTTATAATCGTGTCACATTTTTGTTCCTTTTAAAATTAATCAAAATGACACTTCATGGCAAGAATTGGGTATGACTAGATACTTTGCATTCAGTAACTCCATCTGTTTTATAGGAAGGGGAGTTGTTGTATGCCAGCTGACTGTTTTCAGAGCCAAAAGTTTTAAGCAAATGCTAACATGAATTCTTTCCCCCCCCCCTCTTTCTACCATAGATGTGTTCTTTATGCCATTGTCCAGGAGCAACCATTGGCTGTGATGTGAAAACATGTCACAAGACATATCACTACTACTGTGCATTGCATGATAGAGCTCAGATAAGAGAGAAACCCTCACAAGGCATTTACATGTAACTACCACTTATTTATCATGCGTCTTCTATAGTTGCATTTCACCCTCTTTGTAAAAATGCCATTAGACTCTAAACATTATGAGTATTACAAAAAATGTTTTAAGGGTGCCTATGGTGTTTAATTTATTACAGCATTAGCTGAGTGCACCTTTTAACTGCACAATTATTGGGGGGTGGGGGTGGTATTTTAAAATACAATGAAATGTGCCACTATTTAATTTAAAGATGAACAAATGAGTTAGGAGTCACGGCTTATTTGACAATTTTCAACTGTTTTGTTTATAGGATTCTATGCCGAAAACACAAGAAAGCTACACACAACTCTGAAGGTAAAGCTATTCATTATAAACTGTTCCTACTCTAGATAGGTATTTTGGTTAAACTGTAACTTTTTCTGGAAAGTATAAATGGTTTCACTAAATTAGAACTAGGTTTAGAGGTGTTTTCTGAAACGGAATTTAGAATCTAAACACGTAGAATATTTGGGTATTGCATAAAGTCACTGAAAGAGAGCCAACAGGAAGAAAACTCTTCTGGGATATTTTTGAGTTCTGATTTTCCATGAAAACAAAGGGTATGTGGAAGTAATGTTCCCGCTTTAGCAAAAGACATTTATTTCTAGGAGGAAGCTAATTTTTGTGTGCAGTTAAGTGTTCCACATCTTAAATTTGTTAATTCCATCAAGCAGTAGCTCTATAATCTTTCATTTGTAACAAAATCTTGTAGAAAGATGATGTCTCTTTTGACATGTTATACACAAGGTAATTTTCTTGTTATGATAAATACTCCAAATAGCCTTGTCATATGTTAGAAGAGAAATTTAGTATTACCTGTAAACAGCTATGGTAGATTAACCTCAGATTTACTTTGTATGTTTTTTTCTGACCAAGTTGATTTAAAAAAAAAAATTGTCATGGGCATGCACTCAGGCAAGCTTCCTTCCGTAAGTGGGGGAAGAGTATTGAAATGTGAGTTGTTGGGCAGCGTGTTAATAATAACATGTTATTAGGTCTCGTAATACTGAAAAATCAGTTATGCGGCACTTCAGGATTTGTTTCCATTTTTTGGTTGTATCTGATTTTGGTAAGTAAGAAGAAATGGGTTTAACTTTGAATCTGTTCAAGTGAAACAGTGAAGAAATGGATGATCTCTTTTAATGAAGACTGAGATTGATTATAATAATTCATAATGCAGTTTCTGCCAAATGCATTTTGTTCATCTAACCAATCCATATGATTTGTGCTATGTCTAATAAAAATTACATTAATGATACGGATTATATTTTAAATCTTCCAAATCTTTTTATGTTTAATTCAAACTCCATGCTAAAACTGGATTTTTAGCTTGTCCAGTTATACCTGTATATCATTCTGTATCTCATTTTATATATATATAAATAACAGTAATGAAACATGGCTGCAGTGTCTCATGGAAGGATAGTGAGGTCTAAGAGAGTCTCCTAAGTAAATAGTTATCTGAGACAATACGTTACTTGTATTCACCATGGGCTTAGTTATTGACAGCCACTGGAAAATAATCTTTCTGATTCTGTAAGAGGCTTAAAGCTCCTTCCTGGCCGCTTGCTCCTTCCTGGACTTCATTGCAGGATCAAGACCTTTTTTTTTTAATTTGAGAGCGTGAAAGAGGTGTTACTGCCTATTATGGCATGTCCTAGCCTCTAGCATGAAGGGCTGTTAGTTTTAGTAGGGCCGTATCTGTTGGAAAGGCCATGGAGAAATTACTCCAAATGTGCAGCAACTCTTCTTTTAAGTATTAATAATGACTGTACATTTTAAAACACTGAAGTTGTGTCAGCTGGCGAGACTAATAGACTGAAAAAATGCACCTAAATGGCACAGCTACCTGAGTTGCATAGGGCAAAAAGCCCTACAGTGCCTACTTGGCAATTTCATTTTCCACTCCATTCAGTTTAAAATATTAGTTTTGTTTGTAATAGACTTTTGCTGAGGGCTTAAGCCAATACTTGTGCCATAACATGTTCTCTTTCTACCAGGGGCACAAGCTTAGATATCAGAAGACTCGGGCCTCTGGGGACCTTGTGCTATATTGACAGAGCAGTATTACTGTTTAACCACATTACCACTTTTGTGTGGTAGCAAGGGTCCCATTGTGGTAGGACTTCAACAGCTGGTTTGCACATGCACTTAGTCTCTGGAGAAATGCCTATGTTGAAGCGGCAACATTTGAAAATGCTACAAGATCCTTACATCTTGGGACATGTGCTGTGTCTTTAAAGCAGAAAAATGTCAGGTAGACATCGGGGCTCTAAGAGGAGGCTTAGAACATTTTCCTTTGTTAATTACTATTTAAATATGGGAAATGTGCTTAGAACTAAAACAGGCATAAGCTTGAGCTTGTTACCAAAAAGCAAAGCACAATGAGAAGCTTGGAAGAGGGTGTTTTTGTATATTTTATTGGCTTGTTTCTGATGGAAAAAGTGAGTATCCAAGAGGGACATGAGTGTGGAGAAGGGTGGTGGCTTGGCACACTAGAAAAGACATGTGGAGAAGAATAAACAAATTAGACTGAACTACCAGATGCTACTTCAATTGCTTTTTCTTTATTATTTTATTTTCATGAATCCCCACTCTCTGTTGTTTGCATACTAGAATAGTGAAGGCTAATCTGTGGTCACATGCCTCAGCCATTATACACACTGGTACTTAAGCTGTCAGTCCTGTGTGAAGAAAGTGGACCAACCTGCTCTGGATTGCTGTTTATCCCTGACCAGTTTGGAGCAGTATGGTCTTGTACACAATTCTCTGTACCCTACTCTTAAGTGCAGTAGCTCACATATTTTTGTTTTAGTGCTTTGATAGTATCTGGCTGAAAATTAATTTTTTTCAGAATTAATAGTTTCTCATTTGTTTTGATCATGTCATAGCCATAATCATAGGGATCTAAAGTTTCTGAACAAAGCTGTCACAATGTCCAAGACTACTATTTATTTATTCATTCTTCCTTCATTCTCTAGAAAATGGGTAGTTTCTGAATGTCTTGTTAAAACGTGTCTGTAATTCTGATCTAGGAATTCTGGTATAGGCCAAAAGGAAAAGTTATTCCTTTTTACTGAGAGAGAGATGCTGCTCAAGGACTTAATTTAATGACAAAATTGCAGAGCTAAAATTCTGTTTAACCTAGTGAAAATGCATCCCTTAACCAAGTGGGGCTCATAGTAGAGGGTGATATCTTTTCCTAGACCAACAAGATTTTTGCAAAAATAATTCTTTAATTGCAAGCTATTGGGCACAGACACCCTTCGTCAGGCATTGGAGAAAAGATTGTAAAATCCTCCTGGGTAGAAATGAAAGTTCATATTTCATAGGATTTCACAGAGGAGTCAAAAGATGGAAAACTTGCTCCTCTGGGAAGACCGTTCTTAGCTGATAGGTACATCTCAGTTCTCCTGAGGCTTTGTGGTGATGCAGATTACCTTGAGCAAAGGCAGGCTACAGGTGGTCAAAAGTGCTTTCTGCTTGGGAAATGATGAAGATTTCATTAAAAATAATTGGCTAAAATTTGATATCTTCCATGTGTCAGATATCCAGGTTGTAGCTGTATTGGTCTAGAGGGAAAAGCAATTGGGGCTTGTCGTAAAGGTGATTATCTTTTATTAGACCAACAAGATTTTTGCAAAAAAATTTTAGCTGTTTTTTTTAAATGAAAACATCATTTCCCAAGCAGGAAGCAGTTTTGACCACCTGTAACCTGCCTTTGCTCAAGGTAATTTGCATCACCACAAAGCCTCACGAGAGATCTAAGACACACCTATCAGCTAAGAACGGTCTGCCCAGAGGAGTGAGTTTTCCATCTTTTGACACCTCTGTGAAATCCTATGAAATACGAACTTTCATTTCTACCCAGGAAGACTTTTACAATTTTCACTCTTAACCAAAGTTTTCTGGAAGCCCAAGACAGGCAAGAATTCGTTAGACCACATGCTTCCGTATTCACTAAGACAAATAAATACCTGAGTAATGCAGGTTCTCATTTCTTTAATGGCTGGAAGAAGTTGCTGAAGTTCTATCTGTTTATTGTTGAATGTAATATGTTTCAGTTGGAGCACAAGAAACCACGCTTGTTAATTCTCTGTTTCAACTGATCATTGGCTGCCTTTCATATTTCTTTGTAGTCTAGCTTTCATATACATGGGAGCTTTAGAGTAGTCGATAGTCTTTTGGTTTCATTAAGTAATCCTGATCAGACCTAAGTGGTGTACATAACATGTGCCTCTGGTAATATAACAAACTGGAGGGTTAATGAGTTATAGCACAGGCATACAGACTAAGCTGGAGTCATGTTCTCCTTCTCAGAGAGCCTAGAAATAGTGAAAGGTGAGGCACTTATGATTTGTTCTATGTTGCAGTTTTCAATTAATTTGGTAGATGACGGTTCAGAGAAGTAGATTGAGAGGTCCTCAAAACAGCCTTTCTCCCTGGAAATCTGTGTGAACTCTCTGAGTTGTCATCACCCACCATAATCTAGAAGTTGCTGTTACTTTCACTGTGTGTTTGACTTCGTTTGACCAGGGCATTTCAGTACCTGAATGGCTATTTTCCTGACAGACTCTCATTTACATTCTGGGAAGTGTGTGGCCATGTTTCCATCATGTACCTCTTAGGTACAGTTTTTTGTATGGTATTGTTAAAAGAGTTTATTTAGTGTCTTCTGTTTGAGGATCCCAAAGTGTTTTACAAGTATTGACAAATCAGAACTCTCGACGTTCATGCTAGCTGGGTAACATGCACATTTTACAGTTGGAGAAACAAAGGAACCAGAGTTGGTGACTTTTTAAGGTCACTCAGTAATTCAGTATCTAAGCCAGGAACAGAAACAAAATTGCAGTTACCAATATGTGCTTTTCCCATTGGGCAGTTTGGGGGTCTTCAATACTCGGACCTTTATTATCTCAGCAGATGAGTTGTTACCAGTATTCTGCTTCTCCACAGTTCATTGTGAACCAGCAGTCTGACCTTTGCGGCAGCAGAGACTGACAAGGTTGCCCCTTGCCTGATGTTCTCTGCCATTGTGGCAGCCTGCTTCTACAGCCAATTAAAAGTTTCAGAGCAGTTGGCTTCAATGGTATTTAGAGCATCAGCTCTTTGTATTTGACTCTCATTCTGTTTACTGATGCAGCAGATTCACAGGCATTGTTGCCACCCACTCTTCCAAAAATACCTGGTCTTGCAAGAAATTTTAACAAGACTGCTCCAGTGCACACGGGTTCTGTACTATAATCCCTTCCAGCCCGAAGCTCAGTGAAAGTCAGGCTTTAAGTACCTGGTTGTGAGTATCCTCCAGAATAAGA